TTTGGGGGAAATGGAAATATATGCAATATATGCAAATTTATCCACTGGGGGGAAAACCTGGAAAACTCCCCCTCCCCCGAACTCTTCCAGGGTTTCCCCAAGGTCTTCATATAGCTAATCATCACATCTCGTTTGATCCAATCATTTTCTCTATCCAGCATCTGGGTACAGTGGCAGATAAGCACTACACAAAAACAACATCTCCAGTAGTCCTTAAATAGATTAGAAGAGCAAAGATGCAACAGCTTCCTAATAATTACTAGGGCTGCAAGCTTTGATCAGGGTATCATTCAACAAAAGCTATAGTGGATTTAATAACATCTATGTGGCCCTAACAGGTTTTTAATGTAATTGCTGCTACCTCTTGAATTTTACTGTTTAATGATTTTAATGTAATGTATAATTGTAACGAGTCACTGACTATGTTTTGTTGTGATCCGCCCTGAGATTTTGGGGAGGGCAGAATAAAAATCCAATAAACAAACAAACATATTCAAGAGCACCCTTCCTTCTAGCAACAGATATGGCACCTTTCATGTTTGGAGATACTGAAAGATCTCTGAGAGATATATATACTTTAAATAAATTTGCATATTACCAAATTCAGATAATCAACAACAGTCTAATTGGCTGATGGCTCTAAAGAGTTTCATTACACACACATAAACTGTGTAAGTTAGGGCTCTACCAGATCAGAAAACCAAAGTTTTTCCAGTATGGCAAACATGAGCATGATTGCACCTGAAAGCTCTCTCACAGTAGCCACTTCCACATGGATACCCTACAATAAGACAATTACAAAAAACACTGACCCCACAAATGTTTCTTCCGCTCAACCAGGAGAGGGGCCTTTCTGTACTCTCCTTTCAATCCCTGTTCACCACAATGTCCTCCAAGCGATTCTGTACTAAAAATCGAATTCAACCTTCGTTTCAGCCTGCTGTTGCCCTAGGTTATTTGGATGCTGTTTTGCCCTGGACTTAAATTGCCTCGACTTGAACAGAGAAAATCCAGAGTGGCAGGCAAATGTGGAAAGGACCAGTAGCTATCAAAAGCTTTTACTAGTCCAGAGCTAACTCTAAGCAGAAAGGACTACTTCACACGTGTAATATCACAGGCTGCACTTATAAGCAAAGCCAGGTATTTTGAATTGTCAGCTGTAAAACTACACTGAATCATTAACAACAAAATACACTGTTGAGAAGAATTTTTCCACCAAGGTTTCAAAATCTATTTTTATTAATCTGATATTTCCTAATGCATATTGGTTACAATGTAATAATGATCTGAGATGCAAAAACTGAGATTTGAAACTCAAATTATTCTCAGTCAGCTCCATGAAACTAACTTTCTGAACTGCTTCACTGCAAAAAAAAAAAAGCCCCTTTAGAAATTTATGTATTTTGCAGTTACTACTGAAAATGATCAGGCAGTAGCATTACTCTGGAATGCGCATAGGTAAAGGTTTCCCTTGCTCGAAAGGAGACAGGAGCTCACCCTGTCTTGCGGCACCCGGGTCTTGAACCGCTGAACTACTGACCTTCCACAGCCTGCAGTTCAGCGTCTTAACCACTTGAGCCACCGCAGCTGCAAATAAGGAAAACCAGATCCATTTTTGATCCTAAATCTCAACAGAGATATTTAACTGGACTGTTTTTGCTTTCCCCTACTATCCACAATTCGGATATTGTGAATTAAAACTAGCGGAATCCAGCCAGTTTTAAAATATGCAAGTTTCAAAGACAAGGAAAAAGGGAGGGAAAGACATAAAGAAGAAGCATTTTTAAGTGCTTCCAAATCAAGTTTGGGGTTTGAGTTTAATTCAAAAGAATAGAGAAAGGATGCCAAAGATTTTTTTAAAATAATCTTGCAACTATATTTGAAATCAAAGCCCAAACCACATAAGTTACATTGTTTTTTGAGAACATGATCCTATTCACATTCTAATTATGTCAGTGATAGGGAGCTTTGGTGTAATTAAAAAATTTCCAACTGCCTTTGCAGGAAAGATCGGTAGACTACGCAAGAGCATAGCTCAACATGTGGACATCAAACAATTACCTCTCTTCATAACTCCAACCTGAAGATCCAGTATTTGTTTACACTCGATTTTCCCTTGAAGCAGGACCATAAGAAGAGCCCTGCTGGATCAGACAAGTGGTCCATCTAGTCCACCATTCTATCTCACACTACGGCCAACCAGTTCCTCTGGACAGCCAACAACAGGACGCAGAGGCCAAGACCTTCCCCTGATGCTGCCTCCTGGCTCTGGGATTCAGAGGTTTGGTGCTTTTGGCTTTTCCTAATTTTATATACATGCCCTCTAGTTCACTGAAGACATTTTCATGTACCTGACAAAATGTATTTCAGCCCAGGAAAAGCTTATGCCACCATAACTATTAGGCTTCAAAGTGCCATAGCAATTACTGCATTGGAAGCAGACCTTTCCCAACTTCACATTTTCAGAACAGCCCACTGAGACGAAGATTGCCAGCCCTGGGTTGGGAAATTCCTGGAGATTTGGGGCTGTGCTTGGGGGAAGGTGGAGTTTTGGGACAGGGAGGGAGCTCAGCAGGGATAGGATGCCACAGAGTCCACCCTCCAGAGATGTCATTTTCTCCAGGGGAACTGACCTCACCAATCATTCCAGGCCCCACCTCGAGGCTGGCAAACCTACTTATTTATTAGACTTTTATACCACCCTCCCCACAAGTGGGCTTAGGGCAGTTCACAATACATCTATAAAAACATACACATCGAAATAAAATGTCTAAAACACAGATCTAATTAAACTTATCCCCAACCCTGTTATGACACCATAATGCAGTTCTAGCCCCCCAATTTGTAATTAAAAGTTAACAGTTAACAATGGGGGGAGGGGAGGGGAAGCAGTCGGCAAGGCAGTTAACATTAGCCATTAAAACTGCTATAAAAATGTTGCTGTCCTCAACCGTATGCTTGGCGGAACGTCTCTGCCTTGCAGACTCTGCAGAATTGCAATAGATTCCACAGGGCCATGATGTTAGTAGGCAGAGAGACCCCTGAAAAAAGTACTGACAGGGGTTGAGGGAGCATTGTGGGAGAAAAGCCACACAGAACAAGGAGTAACACTGAGAAGGGGAAAGCAGGCAGAATCACCTTCCCCTCCTGCCAGCTGAGGATCTAGCACTAGCAAAGCTTTGGCAAATCTTGCCTGATTCCCCTTCCTCGCTGTAGCCTTCCATTCCACATGGCTTTTTGTCCACAGGGTTCCCCCAACTTTTGAACATGCCTTTTCAGGGGCGTCCAAGGTCTACTGTGGGAAGGAAGAGACAGGGAAGATCAGCTTGCACAAAGACAATGGTCCAACCCTTTGCTGGTTTTGCATAAGAATCAACCACCTTCACATTTTTCCAGAAAGTTCTCAAGATTTCTTTAGGCACAGATGCATTTTGCTTCTTAGCTGCCCATGCCAGAAGCCTAATATCCAGCTATTTTTGCCCAAAAGGGGGAACTGCTGGCAAGCTTGGCAGCTGCAATTTTCAGTTTCCAAGCTTACTTGGTATATGGCCATAGGTGCTGGCCACAGCACAGCAGAAGATAAACATGGAGGACCAGAACAAAATTAGGATCGAAAGTTGTACTAGCAGAACACATATAACATTCTAGTTACATGAAAAAAATTGTAGCAGCTAGCTCCTACAAGCATGATTCATTTCCCTATCTGGACTTCAGAATATACTTTAAAGGCTAGAGAAAAGGAGATTAGGAATGGATGTATCAGTACTGATGCAACTTCTCTTACATTCTTGAATTTTGCAAAGTTGTAAGTTCTTACATATGTACTCTAAGGACTCTGATACTGAAATCTATGTACTGAATTGATTTACCATGAGGAAGGAATGCCAACTTTATTGTAAACATATTTAAAATGTTGTATTTAAACATGGACGCAGGAAGCTGCCCTATATTGAGTCATACCATCAGCCTATCAAGGTCAGTATTGTCTACTTTGACTGGAAGTGGCTCTCCAAGTCACACAGCTTCATCCAATGTTCCCTCTAAGCTGAGTTAGTGTGAGCTAGCTCACAGTTTTTTAGCCTCCGGCTCACACATTTTTGTCTTAGTTCAGGAAGGATAGCTCCAGAGCAAACTAATTTATGCAGTGGCCAAATCGCTCGCTCACAACTTTAATGCCAATAGTTCACACCATAGAATTTTTGTCACAAGACTCCACAGCTTAGAGGGAGCATTGGCCTCATCCCTTATTAACCATGTGATTTGAGTTATGTACTGCATCATATATATGGCTTTTATGGCCAGGTTATGGCTAAGGTAATACAAACTGAAGAACAGGAATCTGCTAATTTAAGGTTCTGACAAGCTTCTTACAATCAAGGAGCATGAAGAACTACTTTATAAAAAAAAATATGAAGAACTACTTTATATCGCTATAAGGCACAGAGTACAGAATTTCTGGACTTTTTGAATTTATTACAGTTCTAGTGCAATCCTAAACAGAGTTACACCTTTCTAAGCTCACTGAATTCACGGCAAGAATTCTACTTGCATTCAAATCAAACAATTGCAAATGATTTCAAGAGGAGAAAATCAAACAACACTGCAAAGGAAAAGAATAAACTGGATATTTTACTGGATTGATTAGAAGGTTTGTAAAAATGCTGGAAACAAACCGGGAAAAGTTTTATGGTACTCAGCAGATTGGGAAAAAATAATAATATTGTTAGAAACTGGATTTTAACATCTGACAGCGCCTTAATCATTCTTTAGGGAGTTGAGAAACAAAATGTTGGCATCTGAATAAAGATGTACTATATAATCAACAGCTTTCAGCATCATACTTTCCTCTGCCACTAAGGAAAAAAAAATCAATCTCTTTATTAAAAGTTATAGTTTGTTAGTCCTGAAAACAACTGGAAAAGAAAAAAAACACTGTACGGCATTTTAGCTTTATATCCCCCCCCCCAAAAAAAAAGTAAAAGAAAAACAATTAATGTTACCTGGAGCTTACTGTATCTATCTTGGTGTGAAATTAATTTATCCTCCTTGTCTTTCAGGAAATCAGTTTCCAGAATCCTGTATTTTTCCAACAAGTCTTCCAACTCCTCCAAAAATAGATTGAACAAACAACAAATAGGATTTATGAATGCATTGTATTTACTAACACCTATCCTTAAATACAATACTAGGCTATCCACAAAATATCTACAGCATACCATCTAATTTGACTGAAGGAACAGCATCATTGAGCACTTTAATTGTTATATATCTTGTTTTTACATGTTTTATATATTTTGGCATTTGGTGCCCTTAACTGTAAGCTGCCCTGAGCCCGTTCGTGGGGAGGGCGGGATAGAAATTTAATAATAAATAAAATAAATAAATAAAAGTACCCCAAAGTTCATAATTAGCCAAATCTTTGGGTCAAGAAATGATACAACAAATTGCTGTTTGTAAGTTGTTTTTAAACTTAGTAAGATGAACAGTATTAAAGTGACTGCCCTTAGAAATTTATTAACTCTCTATAAAAAGGCAGTCCCTTGCACACCACCAAGACAACATTTTTCTACCATGTTCTCTAAAGGCACTCAACTTTTTTTTTTCTTTTTTCTAAAATGTTCCAAATAAGTCAAACTGAGTCAGACACCCAGCATGGAAAACAAACCAAAACAGTTAGAGTTTGGCAAAGCTAGCAGCAACTGAAGACAGGATCTTGGACTGGAAAGTGTTAGACAACCCTAACGGTTGGTGGTGTTGCCAGCTATGACCATAATGAAACTGCCCGTGTATTTCAAAAGCTGATTTAATGGAGCTCAAGTTATACCTTTTTTATTTTACATTTTTCTTCGTCAGCTACTTTCAGTTTAACTTCTAGACTTGCAAGTGTTTTTTGAAGATGATTCTTTGATTCGTTTAATTCCAGTTTTTCACCATTGTTATCATCATCTAAATCTTCAGGCAGACTCAATGTAGAAACTGGTACTTCCAAAGATGGGCCAATTGATAATGGAACCTATTTTATGGGACACAAGATGCACAAAGAGTACAATTAAGGGAAGATTTTTGTTTTGTTTTGGGGGTGCCTGTCAAAACTTTTATGCAGTTCTGCTTTTTAAAATTCATTATAACATAGAATGTTCTCTTAACATCCTTATACCTGGTCGATCTGTGAACACTGAAAATGAAGCACTATTGAGAATGATTATTCGAAGAATGAGCAAACCTTCCCTGGGAATAATACCACCAAATGATTTACCTGATGCTCAATACATAGGGTTACCAGCTGTCCTCTTTATAGAGGACATGTCCTCTTTTTTTGTGTCCATCCTCTTTCGGGCTCTTTTTTAAAAAATGATGAAAATATCCTCTTTTTGGGTGGGAAGGTTAGGAATATTTCTAGTTAGTAGCAATTTTGTTGTTGTTCAGTTGCACAGTCGAGTCCAACTCTTTGCGACCCCATGGACCACATCAGGCCAGGCTCTCCTGTCCTCTGTCGTCCTCCAGAGTTTGCTTAACTTCATGTTTGTTGCACCAATAACACTGTCTAACCATCTCATCCTTTGCCATCCCCTTCTTCTTTTACCTTCAATCTTTTCCAGCATCAGGGTCTTCTCCAGTGAGTGCTCCCTTCTCATTTGGTGGCCAAAGTATTTGAGCTTCAGCTTCAGTATCTGTCCTTCCAGGGAACAGTCAGGGTTGATTTATTTTAGGATTGAATGATTTGATCTCCTTGCAGTCCAAGGGACTCTCAAGAGTCTCTGTCTCTGTCAGACAAATTAACTTGAACCTCCAGCTTGCAATGTCCCTTTGGTAAGGTAACAGAAACCTCTATAGAGTTCTCACATGAAAACGTGCCCACGGCACCACATCCTGACAAGACACCAGCATCCCCAAGAGTTTTGCCAGTGACATGAGCGCCATTCTGTCCTGTTTTAATGTCTCTCCCAAGAGGCAAACTATCTTGCTTTCCCTCTCTTTGGAAATAAAAACTCTGTCTGTTACTGTGTCTATTATCACACCTAAATGAATCAGTCTCTGTGTTGGTTGTAAATGACTTTTCTCGAGGTTCACTACAAACTTGTGTTCCTGTAGCGTACTCACTATGACTTGAGTCGCCTGTATGCACCCCTGTCGTGATGTCACCTTGATAAGAATATCGTCCATATAAGGAAATAGCTCTATCCCCTTTAGTCAAGTCTCTGTGTTGGTTGTAAATGACTTTTCTCGAGGTTCACTACAAACTTGTGTTCCTGTAGCGTACTCACTATGACTTGAGTCGCCTGTATGCACCCCTGTCGTGATGTCACCTTGATAAGAATATCGTCCATATAAGGAAATAGCTCTATCCCCTTTAGTCTGAGGACTGCTACAAGGGTGACCAGAACTTTGGTAA